AAAGAAAGAAAGAAAGGAAGGAAGGAAGGAAGGAAGGAAGGAAGAAAGAAAGAAAGAAAGAAAGAAAGAAAGAAAGAAAGAAAGAAAGGAAGGAAGGAAGGAAGGAAGGGAAAGAGAAAGAGAGAAAGAGAGAAAACATGTTTGTGTAAGAGCACACGGGAAAATTCATAGGGCTGCTCCAGATCAGAGGCCTTAAGCCCTGCCTGGTTGCCAAGGTTGAGAGGATAGACAACATGTGTGGTGAAAAATAATAAAGAAAATAACATTTGTAACCCCTCCCAACTGAATAACCATATGAACAAAAGGAACATTACCAATACCCTTGGTCCCCACCATGTACTGCTGCCTGGTATGCCTTCCTCTCCTGGCAGAGATACCCACTTTCTTGAATTTGGTTGCTGTTTCCCGTTATTTATAATTTTACCACGCATGACTAGATCATGTATGTGATTTTGGCTTTGTGTATTTTTTGAGCTTTTTTAATAAATAAAATTATACCACGTGCATTAGTCTAGGACTTGAGTTTTTTCACTAACCTTGGGAGGCTGGCGAATGCATTATTGTGGCTGTAGTTCACTAGATTTCACTGACACAGAGCATACACTTGCATGAATATTACATTTATGAGCCAAGGTCCAGGCAAGACACAGAAACATCAATAAGGAAAGTGACTCTAAAGAATGATTGATCATAACAACACTGCAGCAACGAGGTACTGTCTAGTGAAAGGAAAGAGAACTCCAAGATAAGAGAATAGCAGATACAAGGAGTGGTCACTATCCCTAGGTCTGAGATGGAGCAGCCAATGAAGTCTTGCCCCACCCTGGTCCTCCCAATTATTAGAGAAGTACTATGGAGCTGCACTAGGAGAACTTGCTTTAAATCTACCCCAGAACCCCCCAGAAACCTGACTCTAGACCACGGCGGGAGCTGTTGACAGAGAAGTGTCTTTCAGAGACACTTGACAACAAAACTAGCCAAGGGCAGTGTTGGAAGAAGAAGATCCTGCTGCTGGTTTTGCTGGCCTCTGGGAACTGCAAGTACCAGGCAAGCGCTGTAGCAGCAGCTTCACTACAGGATGGGCATGCTGGTGAAGCCATGTCCACGGCAGGGCCCGATGCTGGAGAAATCTTTTGCATGCAGGAGCCTTCCAAAGAAACCCCGTCCTGTCCTAGCTGGTTTGGCTCAGTGGGTAGAGTGTTGGCCCCTCGGACTAAAGGATCCTGGGTTTGATTCAGGTCAAGAGCACATTTCTTGGTTTCAGGTTCCATCCCGGGCCCTGGTCCACGGGCGTGCAGAGGCAAGCAATCCCTGTGTCTCTCTCACATTGATGTTTCTCTCTCTCTTTTCCCTCTCTAAAAATCAATGGGAAAATATTCTTGAGTGAGGATTAACAAACAAAACAAAACAAAACAAAACAAAAAACAAAGGAGAAAGAAACCCCCACCTTTCAATGTCTCTCTAATGCCGTACACTCACAAAGTTTAACATTAGATTCCTTGGCAAGGAAAATATATTTAAAGCGTCCAGATCCACTTGCAAAGATCAGGCAGTGAGGAGTAAATTTAGAAGTACTGTAGTAAGTTGGATAACCGGCACATAACAAAATGTATTTGTTCAATTTTCTGCTGGTGGGCATTTGGAATGTTTTCTATATTTTGCTCTATGCCTGCCAAAGCATTTGTAATAATAAAGTATCAGATAGGAATCTTACAAGTAAATAAAAGTACATGTCTATATGCTATATCACAGGGATAGTACTGTATATCTCCATCTTTTTTTTTTATATCAGTTCATTGATTTTTAGAGAGAGGAAAAAGGAGAGAAATATTGATGTGAGAGTGCAACATCTAATTGGCTGCCTCCTGCATTTCCCCCTACTGGGAATTCTGGGCCTGATCCCTTGATCAGGAATCTAAACAGCAACCTGTAAGTGCACGGGACCAGGCCCAACCAACTGAGCAACACCGGCCAGGGCTATATCTCCATCTTATTCTAGGGGCTACATTAACCCACAAATTTAATGCCTCATACTCACGTGATAGGAAAATTTATAAAACATACACTGCTTTAAAAACCTGGAAAGCTTATCAAGACCAATATAGATAGAATTTCAACTCTGGTTACTAGGGCCTATCACTCTGATTTCTCATTTTAATTCAGGCACTGTCCACTACATTTACTTGAGTAAGTCAGATCTTTCTGGGTTTTTGATAAATGGTTTGGGCTATTTGTGAAGAAATCAATTTAAAAAACCAAATAGTGAAATTTTCAAATAATTTAAATTCAATTTATGTTTATTCCAAAATATATACTTAATTTTTAGCAAATTACTATTTATATTTTAATCAGGTAACTTTGATTTAATTTCTATTCAATCCAAAATATATTCAAATGGCATAGTTATTTCCAGATGCAATAACCATTGAATGTGAACCATAAAAGCAGAAGAAAAAGGAAGTGTAGATTAATAAGTCTAGATGACCTACTAAATTTAAAAATTGGAAAAATCACAAAGTGAATGTAAACAAGTAAAAAGAGCATACAGGGAAAAATATTTTTCAAAAAATATAACAAAGTGTAACCATAACTAATGTAAAGACACTTTATATCAATAAGTTCAATATTAATAATTCAATTCCAAATCCCTCCCAAAAGGGTGCATGACTGTGTGTGAGTGTGTGTGTGTATCTATGTGTGTGTCTGTGTTTGTGTGTATCTGTATCTGTGTGTGTTTAACTTAGGAGAAAACACATAAAAGGAATAAAGACATAAAGCCAAGCCAGAAAGAAGTATAGAATGAAAATGCATACTGTTAAGATTTCTACCCTTGAAATTTAGTCACAACCATAAGATAGAATGAAATCTATTACCAGGAGAAGCAAAATAGAAATAAAAATAAAAAATAGGACAATATGATTTTAAGTTTAGATAAAGAGTAAAGAGGATTATTGAACAAGAATAAATTAGGAGAATGAGAAGGTTAGGTCACAGAAAAGATTAATCTCCCTAATGTAGTGACCCTGAGTTGAAAGGACTCCTATAACAAGAGATGCTACTCAGTCTGACCCATTTCATCAAAAATGTTTTGATTGCTTCTTGTTTTTCATAGTTATAGGAAGTTTAGACAATCTTCAGGGAAGTTCACCAGCTCATTGCAAACTTCTGATCTATGAAATCATGTGCTCTGCGATTTCAGAATTTTTCTAAGTCACTTCAACTAATTTATGCTTCAGGACACCGGTCCCATGACCCACAATGGTTATAGTTTCAGACCAATAACTCAGCACCCATAGATGGTACTGCTATTGATTCTCTCTCATCATTGATATTTATATCTCTCTCCCCCTCTCCATTCTTCTCTGAAATCAATAAAAATATATTTTAAAAAATATGTGATAAGCCTTGGCTGGTTTTTCTCATTGGTTAGATCCTCTGTCTATGGACTGAAGGGTCATAGGTTCAATTTCCGACAAAGCATATGCTGTGGTTACAGACTCAACCTCCAGAGCCATTCCAGGAGTGTACAGGAGGCAACCAATTGATGTGTCTCTCTCACATCCATGTTACTCTCTTTCTGTCTTTCCCCCTCCCTTCTGCTCCCAGTTAAAAATCAATGGGAAAAATACCCTCAGTTGAGGATTAATGGAAAATCTCTCACAAACAAAAAACAAAACAAAACAAACAAACAAAAAACAAAAGAGAGAGAGAAAAGACTATGTTGAAACACAAATAGAAAACCCTTAGTTTGCTTTTAAACAGATTTCAGTACTGCATTTATTTTATTTTGAAAGGTATAATTTGTTACATGGTGCTGTATCTCATTATAATTTGTCTTTAGGCTTTAGAAATATGAAAGGGAACCAGGTCTCCAAGAATCAAAACAAGAAAAAGAAAATTAATCTTTGCATTTAAAAGAGGGGATATAATGCAAGGAACTGGCCATACTGGTGAAGCCAATGTTTAAAAGCCAAACAAGACACAGTGAGAAAATCGGACATTGGCATCAGCAGGGAGACACTACCACCCTAGACCATGGAATAAGGACATTAAGGTTTTACCAGCCCTCAGCGACAAAATCATGGAGGGATGCTGGTACCTTGAAGATGGTGCTCCAGGTAGAGACAGGGTGGAGAAATACAGTGCTTCTCCCTTCCTCTCACCCTCTAATGTCCTTCCAGTGTGCGCTAGAAGCCACTTTGTGAAAAGCTTGGGAGTCTCAGCCTGTGCTGACGGGCTACCTGTGATAAGGAGCAAGGAGGTGAGGAAAGAGGCTGAGCACATACAAGTCCCAGCCAGGCACAGTCCATCCTTGTTGGCACAGCATTTGTTCTCCTATGTGGTTCCCTTGCAACTGCATGGATTAAAGGAAAAACAATGATGGAAGTATATTTTGGAAATATTTTTAATTGAGTAAAATTAAGGATGAATCCAAACAAAATTTTGATTTGCAATTAAAGCAAATGCTCAGAGAAAAATGTGGGGTCCTAAATGAATATATTATAAAAGAAGAAAAGCCTATCTCAAGGAGAAAAAGAAAAGCAAATTTGCCTGGCCAGCATGGCTCAGTGGTTGAGTGTTGACCTATGAACCAGAAGGTCACAGTTGGACTCCAGGTCAGGGCACTTGTCTGGGTTGCAGGCTATGTGGGATGTGCAGGAGGCAGCGGATCAAT